CAGAAAAAGACAACAAAAAAAAAATTAAATAGCTCATCTATCCCGATGAATGTAAAACTGCAAAGTGAAAATTAACTTACCTTGAAAGGTTTTTCACCAGTATGCACCCTAATGTGCCGCATCAACTGACTCGGCTTCTGAAAAGACTTCAAACATATAGTACATTTATACATTGTCTTGTGTTTTGTCCCTCTCTTCGTTTGTTTCACTACTTTGGTCTGCAACTACAAACAAGCAAATTAGAGGTAAGCAATCGGATCGTCACTCGGCAATAGCGTTCAACGCTTGTGACATCTTACTCTATAATGTTCACGGATATGAAGTCTGTACAAGGCTGGTTGACTAAACTGTTTGTTACACAATTTACACTTTCGTACTTCTTCAATTGTCCACTTTTCCCCATGAAGCTTCAAATGTGCGTCCAACTGAGTCTATATCAAGTATATTCAAGTTGAGATCAAGTTGAATTAATTTTAAATTTTCCGTCAATTCTCAAATTAAGAATTGAGAAAAAATCATACTACAAGTAATTAATTAATTAAGTAATTAAAACAACAATACTGACTTTCGTGGAGAAAGCATCTTCACATTCTGTACAGAACAAGTTCTCTTCCTTCTCGTGCAGCAACATGTGGGACTTCAAGCTGGCCATTCTCGCAAATTTTTTACCGCATTCTGGACATTTTGGTTCACCTGTGTTGTGAGTTGCCATATGAAGTGTAAAATTCGTCTGCAACGGTAGTGTAAAATGAAATGAACGACAATGTCTCTATCAAGTTGTACGTTGACGCCGAATGTATCGAATAATGCATGTTTGAACGAAGAATAGAATTGTTACCTACCGGCACGTTGAACGAAGCGGAACATTTTGGGCACCGATGTGGTTTCTCTTCTGCATGATTTTCCATATGTTTTCGATATAACGTTTGTTTGCCAAACTCTTGGTGGCAAATGTCGCACATCAAGCTATCCGTATTCTGTAATATAAAAAGGAAAACAATGTTCATTCTCTTTTCCTTTCTGGACTGTATACAAGAGTTGAAAGAGCAAACAGACTGCACACTGCACGTGCTCTTTCATTGACAACCAATCAACGCTTTGCGTGCTTTCTAAATGCAAAAGGTGAAACGAATGTGACACTAGTATTTAAATATTGAATTACTTGCGAAGAAATCAAGGAAATTGCTTTGCTTTTCTTAGGTCTTCCAGAGTTACTTTTTTTCACAACTAGATTTATCGGCTTCTCCTTGGAAGATCTTTCATCCTTTTCGCTATTATCTAGCAATTCATTCGCAGAAACAGACTGACACTCTTGCGTATGTGTTTCGTCAAAGGTCAGTTCTCCGCACGATCGCTGCAAATTCATCTGCTGATCAACGTCGGTGGATGATTCTGGTTCCAAGCCTTGCGTCGACTGTTGTAGTTCAGACTCACTGACGATATTTTCCACGCTTATTTGAAAAACAGGCTGGAGCAAATGGAGCATGATTGAGCAAAATGAAAATTTCCTTTGTAAAACGAATAACGATAAAAACTAATGAAATAACGCACCGAGTGTAATATTAAATTTCCATTTAAATTTTTCACATCTATCAATGATGTGGCTGTTCCACTTTGTCCGACAAGCATGACTGGAGTTGCAACAATTTCCAACATATCGTCTTTATGCTCTGCAAAAAGTTTACAATGAATTGCCATAAACGTTTGTTGCTAATACCTGTCTACAGTTTTTCATCGTCACAGATCCTTACCAGTCAATGCTAAAAGAGTTCGACCATCCTCGGTAGCAACAAAATTTATAGGTATTGTTTCGACGTGTGAAGATTCTGCAACCACATTCTGTCGTGTCAACATTTTTTCCATGTTTCAAAGTGATACACGACGTAGTACGACGAAAATAATTCTTTGCACAGAATCGTACACGGCGATAAAGAAGAAAAAAAAAAACGGCAATTATAATTCCCGTTACTACCAAGCACATTTACAAAAATTATCCAACGTGTTAGACACTCTGGGAATGTTTTGGCAAAATTCAAATGTTTGAATTTCTTTTGAAAGACACATAGCTCAATATTTTTCAACGGAAATCAACTTAACCTATTAACTTTAACTTTCACGATACGAGAGGTTAACTAGAGCGACAAGTATCGGAAACATTGCATTCGCAAGCGCCGATAAAGAAGCTTGAAATAGAGGAAGGAAGAGGGAGTATATAAATAAAGAAAAAAAAAAAAAAGTGAACAACTATGTGTCCGCGTATACAGCGATATTTCGAGTATCAGAAGGAAAGAAAGAAAAGGATGAAAATTTAAAAGAAGGAAATGAAATAAACGTGTGAATTTTGGCGTTGGGTTTGATTTTGCTTATCATGTGAATTAAATAAAGTAAATTGAATTGTACAATTAAATCAAATTTTTAATCACACGGTAGTCTATTGGTATCTCATTTCACAACGTTATCTTTGAATAAAAAAACAAAAAACGAATAGAAAATACAGATACTTAATTGTATTTAGTTTTATACGCTCTTAGGCATGTATCCAGTAGGCAAAGAAAATGAGATAAATAATGAAGAACGTAAAATACAGAATGAAAACTACATATACATAAGTGACTCGTACACTTGCGTACACTGACGTGAATTCTCTACAAAGAATCGCGATAAAAACGGCGATTATAACTCCAAACTGTCAAACACATTTACAAGAATTTTTCGTTATACTAGATACTCTGAGGATCATGTTTCGGCGTCAATTCAAGTTACGTTGTCTTTTAAAAGATACGGAGCTCGACAGTTTTTGGCGAAAATCAACTTAACCTATACTTTCCCGGTATAACCGGTTATAACTCGAGCGGCAGGTAGTAGCGGCATCGTGACATTCGCAAACGCCAGAGTAAGAGGGAATAAACGAAATATGCGGATTTTGGTACTGGGTATTGTGACGAGTGTTTTACAATTGTTAAATTAAAGTAAATCGAATTATCTCATTTCACAGCGTTATCCTTGATTCTATAAATATAGAAAGAATAGAAAGATCAGAAACGATCAATTGTATTCTACTCGCTCTTAAATATACACGAAAGAAAGATAGAAGTAAGATAGAAATCATAAAGGAAAAATAGGACGAAAGATACACACGGGTATGCTTATGTTTGACTCGAGGCTCACTTAAAGTTTTTCGTTAATCATCGATTGATTTGTACACGGCTGAAACGTGTGAAAACGTATCGAAGAAATCATCATCCGAGAGACAGTATTCGTATAATTCTGAAGTTGATTTTTCAACCGTTGATATCGACATTTGCACTGGCGATAACTCGGCTGAAAGAAACGAAGATACAGACGAAGTGGTTCTATGGATAGTCGAGCACGTGGAACTATAAGATTTTTCCAAGTTTTTACGAAATATGGATTTTACGTTGTCCGACAATGATAAAGTTTCGTCAGATTTGTCAACTGGTGCTGCTGAATAGGATCTACGGTCGATCCAATTCAACGACGCGTCCGATGATTCGTTACGTGATTTGCCACTTTCATCGATAAACGCGGCATTAGATGAGACAACAGGAATCTCTTTCGATTCGTTGTCCGTATAAATTACATTCCCATACGTACGTTGTTCCCTTTCATTTCCGAAATTTATTCCGAAATTTATCACATCCGATCTATCAGGTACGACAACACTCTCCTCCGCGTATTCATTCTCCTTCTCTTTCCTCCGTGTCCCATTACCGCTATTCATTCTCCGTGCATTTTCACCAAATGTCTCATCGTTTTCATCGTTTTCATCGTTTTCATCCTTTCTCTCCGTAACGGAGATATCACTTTCACTATCTTTCCGCATATCGATATCGATTTCACTTGTCGTTTTCCCATCTTCTTGTGCAGTGTATTCGCCACTCTCTTGCTTCCAGAGTTTTACAAAACATCGGACAAGCGATATCACTTGTTCCCGATGGAATTCATCAGTTTCCAGAAGCTCGTGCAGTCTAACCAGAACGTTGTAACATTTTTTTTTGCCCCGTGAATTCGATTTCGTTGTAACTTGATTCGTTGTAACCTGCCGGAGATAATCGCGAGGTTATGCGATATAACAGTAATAACACACAGTAAGAATAGCGCGAATTAGTTTCGAGAGATTTCAAACGAGAGCTCTGGTTACAGGATTAATGCTGTTCATGCGTTGGCATTTACATTCGGTGTGTTACAAATAACACTGTTCCACTTTTTTTTTTAATAAGAAGAGAACAGTTCTCGCTGAGACTTGGAATTATAAGAACCGTAACTCACGATTCAGTTTAAAACTTTGCAAACTTAAAGCATCGAACGTTAACTAATTGCAAGGGGATTCTCGATGCAACGTGATTCTCTCGTACGTACAATCTAGCTATGAAACAAACAATTACACGTTCGTCTACCTTTCGGCAGAAAGATGGGAAAACGAAAGCTTCTTACGAAAACGAAAGATGATAGATCTCTTTGAACAAAGAGATGCATTTCTTCATAAAAATTCCCTCTCAGAATCAACTCACTCATCCTCTTTAACGCTAATAATATTATTACGAATTATGTACAGACGATAAATACCAGTTGTTCGGAAGCGTATTTTCGTGCCTTCTCCGTAACGGACTTTGGCAAGCCAGATAATTCAGCTAGAACGATACCGTAATCGTCGGAATGAGCCACACCGGATTTTAACCGATGCGTGTAAGTTAATCGACGATGGATGTTATCAGCTTCCGAGCCTCGAGCGTTCATCGACGTTTCGAAATATCGGCTGAAAAACAATAATTTAAAGCACCTTGAAAAAAACGCCGTGACATGGAAAAATCGAAAGAAGATATATTCAGACAGACTCTTCGGTCATTTAATTTAATTTAATTTAATTTAATTTAATTTAATTTAATTCAATTTAATTCAATTTAATTTATCGATGCTAAGCAGTAAGCTACATACAACGTATACTTTGTCGTCATACTTTGTCACGTTGCAGTAGAGATCCGCTAATTTCGTCAGGTAAGTAAAATGAGTTGCAGCAAAGATAAAAGCAGTCGTATTCAACAGTTTTTCGCAGGTAGCCCACGCGAGTGAAGCCCCTTCTTCGATGGCGGTACCCTTGCACAACTCGTCGAAAACGATGAGCGAAGTTGCCGTAACAGATCGTAAAATGTATTGCGCTTCTTTCATCTGAAGGGAGAACAACGATACACACATCTGTTGAAATTGAAACGGTAGTCATTCATTAGGGTGGTCAATGGTGCGGCGCGCTGACTCGGACGCAATTTTCAAAATTAGGAATTCAATCTTTAAATTTTAGCTGCAATTGCCAGGTGTCACAAGCCAGATACGCCAGGAGCCCCTTTGTGTACTTTCTCGTTGGTTTTGACACGCCTCTCCCTCTTTTATTTTAACCCTCCGGATATTCTCAGAAGGAAGAGAAAGCTTCTAAGACGAAAGAGGTATCTCTCAGCAGGAGAAAGTTGAACGTGCAAGTCGGAGCAATCGGGCTATTAATTCGACATTCGAATAAATAAAGTCTTGCAACCATCAATCGAGTTACACGAGCAAGTGTTACTCTTACGGTACGCACCGTGGTAGTATACCAACAGTACTTACTTCGAGGGCAAACGTGGAAGCGTTGCATTCGATATCATCGCGAATGGCTATTTTACAAAAAATGAGATCTGTTATACGAAACATTGCCTTCTTGGCTGGCACGAAACAACCAAGTTGCGCCATTATATGCAGCAAGACAATTTGTTTCAGATAAGTTGATTTGCCGCTCATGTTGGGTCCAGATATTACACATAGGTTCTCAGGTATCGACGCACTCTGTAACACAAAAAAAAAAAAGAAAAAACAATTACCCAACATTACGTAATGTGAATAATCGGTGTGATATACGTGCACAACTGTGCATGTATGTATATCAAAGCGAAAGTAATAATTACCACGTTATTCGGTACGGGGCCATCGAAACCAACAACATCCATTACTGGATGTCTGGAATCGAGCAATTCCAATTTGGATCCGAAGGATGGTCTCGTATACGTTGGAAGTGAACTGACTTGAGCAAGGGATGCTATCAGGTCTAACTCTGCGATATCCGCACTCAGTTGGAACAAACAGCCAATGTATTCTCGAATACTCTGTAGCAGGTCGTGCAGCAGTCTGTTTACACACAGATATTACGTTGCATTGCAAAATATCTTTAAATTGAATATATTCACGTTGAAGGAAACGACGAGTTGAAGGAAAATCGTTTCGATACGTACACGTTACTCATCAAGTGCAATTCTTCGCAAGCAATTTTACACTGTTGACTCAACGTTGCGAGCGCATTGGTAGTCATTGTGTACACTCGTTTGTTTCTCCGTACCTATTTATATACGGAGATACGTTATTTATAGTTGTTCATAGACGGTTACACGCCGAAATACACCGTTCGAAAAACTGCCATGTAACAACGAGACTTGAAATTTATAATATTTGATATTATATTTTTACCTCTGTGAATTCGGATGGTAGATCAAAGGTTTCAGCATTTAAATTTCGAGGCAATATCACTTGGATGTGATAGCCCAGAGAAGCGTTACAGCTTAAAGACAAAGTAAATTTGTATTTGGATGCCAAATTTTCCACCATACCTGTTCAAAGGAAAGAAACACAAACGAGTTATTTTTCGATATAAGAAAAGATCACGTTTTCTTCTCTTTTTTCTTTTCTTTTCTTTCTTTCGATACACTGACTTTTCATATCGTCGATCAACTCGCAATATGTCTGTCGGGCGATATCTAACAAGTCGTTAATGCCCGCTCTGATGGCGAAGCAACGTTGCATGTTCGAGGACGTGTATCCAGTTACGGATCTCGCATCTGGATGTATAGTTTCAACGATTCTTTCTCGCATCAGCCGAAATTCGTCATTTTTTAGTTTCTGAAGGGCAAGAAAAGACAAACGGTGACTGTACGTATACGTGCCTATACGTATACGCATGGTTAAACGAGATGGGATTTACATAATTACAAACCTTTTGGATTTTAGACAAGAGGCCACTCTCACCAGTTGACAATATCTTTTCAAGTTCAGGCACGACGTCCAATAAATTCTTCAACAACAAAACATAATTTAGATTCTGTTCAGCAGTTTGCACGCTGTTTTCGTGCAGAACAGGTGTCGTCGATAAAATTAAAAGTCTGTCGGCGCCATAAAGTCGTCGTACGACGGGCTACAACAACCGTACAAATGTCAGAATGAGAAAAGAAGGTGGCAGAGAAAAATAATAATCGGTCAATGTTGGAGAACCTGGATTAATGCACGCAACGAACAGTTGGCTACCAGCTCGGCAACGGCGGCTTGTCGCTCGAGAATTGCGCGTTCTTCGCAACAAGGTTGAAGTATGTTTGCGCGTAACAGCTTTCTACCCATTGGTGTTAAACAACGATCCAAGCTACCCAATAAACTGACATTTCGCTGACCACATTGTGACTGGACCAACTCCAAGCTTCGTGCACTTTCCAAATCTAGCATTAGTGTACATTTCGTACATTTTCTATATTCTCTCTCTCTCTCTCTCTCTCTCTCTCTCTCTCTCTCTCTCTCTCTACACACACACACACACACACACACACACACATTTTTTTCAGAGCTACGTACTTTTCTCTCTATTTACACAACTACCTATATCGTGCACGCTACCTACCTATCGTAGCAGCGTTTGGCGATCCGTGAAATTCGATTTTCATCGATTTTGGCGCGTAAATAATTCGTTGAGCGTACTCGACGTATTTCAGTAGTGCTGCGGCTGCGGCCAACGCGTAATATCTGCAACAAGCGATCGTATATGCGTAATTTCGAAACACACACACACTGTAGAACTCTGAAACGCGTGAGAACTACATTACGTTAATCGATTAATTATCAAGCGTACGTAAAAGAGTGAAACATGAAACACGATATAGATATGATGCATTATTGTGCATAATGACGTTATTATCGTGGTACCGAAGGTACACAACATTTACTTTTGTTTAACAAATAATTCCACCGAGGAGTATTCAGGGTTGCACAGCGACTTGATTCGTTCGAAACCGATCGTGTCGTTAAAGTGTACACGAGATATCGGTGTTGGCTCTGTTTCGGGAAACTTGTCCATCATCGAACGATAAAGGACGCTTTTACCCGTGGTACATTCACACATGGTGTCCGGCATCAAAATCTGCAACAGTCGACATGAAATCAAGTCAGGTTCGCTCGAGTTTCGATCGAGTGTATAATACGCAGACGAGATAATACGTCGTTTCGTAAGAACGTCCAAGTAACTTTAAAATCGAGATTGAGATTCGACATATCGTTTCGCGATCTACAGTAAATGTAACACGGAAACGGAAACGGAAACGACGTACGTACGTATGTCGGAGGACTTACTTCAATGGGATCGAACAGGTACAATTTGCTCAACGCGCTGACATAAGTCTGAGAATCGCTGATTTGACAAAGAATCAAATGTGGGCATCGGATGTCGAGCGAAGCTATTCCGACTTCTGATCTCGCATCACCTCGGCCGGTCGTTATGGCTGTTGGATCGAATTAAATTGTCA